TTAGATCTGAAGCTAACACCAGTTATTAGCTACAAACAGTATATTAGCAGGWACCAGTAATTTTGACACCACAGATCTAAGGACATAAAGATGCTCAGGATCCCTTTAGTAATTTTTTGTTATTAAACTACAAACAAGTTGAATGAGCACATTTTTATGTTGGCTCTAAATGGGAAATATTTGAAACAGATATGTTATGGAGARTATTTTTGTAATTTATCAGTGGTTCAAAAGCTAACCAGTAGTTAGCTTTTCTAACAGCCAATCCACCAATTAAGAACTAGTTTTCCAAGCATGAAACCACTAAACAGGCATGAAAATTAGTGGAAGCTAATGCTAACTGATGACCGCTAACTCAAGATCTGTCATTTAAATATACTGTAGATGTGTGGTTTACACAGAAAAGTCTGAATTTTGACTAAAAGCTCATMAAAAACATTTCTATGTACACTAAACACAGTTAAAATCTCAAGCTGTTGAATAAACAAAGCAGACACACAAAATGTTAAAGATGCTACACACAAGGCTCATGACAGGTGGTGCATGTGTGAGGAGTGTCATTTTTGCTTTCAATATAGTTAGCAGAGACTAAATTTAGTGGAAGCTTACACRGTTTCCAAAGTTAACGAGAACACTAATCCACTAAATGAAAAGCTAGTTTAGCTGATAGCTGTTAGCAGGTTAGCAGAACTGTTCCCACCACTGGAAACTAGKCTAGATGATGGTTTATGAATGTGCTAAAGGCTAGCACGGCCACTGACGACTGTAAAGTACCTGCCTGCAAGAAAAGGTGCAAAACAGAGGGAAAATGGTAKCCAGCCCACTACTGATGCTCCTCTGTGCCTTGAAATGAGGTAGCAACAGAGCCGAAATGATAAACGAGCGAAACAGTTTAACCAGTGACACGGCTCAATAAAGCTTGGATTATATTTCAGTAAGACGTGAGACAGCAGATTGTGTAATTCTGGATGTATTTTTCCTGATCGAGTATAGGGCTGCCACAAACGATTATTTTAATAATCGATTAATCACCGATTATTTATTCGATTAGTCGACTAATC